ATTGAGCTATATATATACTTGAGTTTACTCCGTGGTCTGTAGGCCCTACTTGCTAAAATAGGATATAAAGTCTTTTTTTTCTTAAACAATGATGGCCCGAAAGTACGTAAGCAGTGTTAGAGTGAAAACAACCAATAGTTCATTTTCTGTTCATTTTGTCGCTGGTAACTTATTAAGATTTCTAAAATAAATTTGCCTGGGCTATTCAGAAATTTACATATTTTTTTGTATTGTGTATTATTTGTAGAAGGCAATGTTAGATATAAACTAGGTTACCTCATATTTATGTTTTGTGTTAGTTGTGGAATAAAGCTCCACTTTGCTGCGCATGTTATGTTTGTTTTGTTTTACACTTGGTCCCAAAATATACTGGAAAGAGCAACAACGTTTGTGTCATTGTCTGAGCCTCGCGCATCATATTTCTTTGACATCCACCAAAAATGAACACTGTAACTTCAACAGGTAATGCTTACCTTTCTGTGTGCATATAAATTTTGTTCACATTATTATATTGGTAGTTAGATTTTGTTTAGTTTATTCGTATTATTTTTTTAGTAGGATTTACCCCGGTAGGATTCGGTTCCTTCACCGCCATTGTCTTTGCTTTCTGCGTCTGTGTCGTAGTTTTTAATTTTATTTTAATCTTAAGATTTATTTTTATCCACAACACAAAAACACCTCTCAACATAGCACCAAGCCAATAGTAAATAATTGTATTTCGATAGTAGCAAGACTGTTTAGAAGAGCTGTCTTTATATGGTCGCGTTCTATTTTTCTCAAACCATTTAAGGTGTGGGTATTTTTGTGACACTACACTTTCCATTTATTGGTGATCATCGAGAAATCGTTGTTTTTATCTGTGATTCTCTTCCTGTCTCGTCATCAACTCCATCTGTTGGAATTTCTCCAACTGACGAACATCTCATGTGCTGCGACATACATAAAGATTATACTTGTCACTTTCCTCAGCATTACCCCAGAAAACCGGGAGAAAAAATAAATATATGCACTATATCTCATATAAAAGAAAAATAACTCGAATAAAGATACGTATATCAAGGGCTACACACAAAAATAATCTGTTAGACTTTTTATAAGATAATTATACCGGTAATATTTACCCAACATGTCACAAAAAGTCTCCCATGGAGATAAATAAACATCAGTGTAAAGAAAGTCCATCATCTGTCACATGAAAGTTTTTGTTTTAATATCGAAGGTGGTTGACAGGTTGTGTGTATCGAAGGTGGTTGACAGGTTGTGTGGGTTATCTATGGGGACGTCGGGCCTCTTAAGATGTTATAGTATGAATTTTTACACGTATAATCATTGACACAGAAAAGATGACATTTCCGCATACTTATGACATGAGTTATGAATCGTGTAAGATATTGGAAATGCTAGAGGGTGATCATCACAGATAGAGCAGAAAGTGTTGTTGACATCTGTGCTCTTAACATTAACCACCTAAAAGTTTTCACTAAATAGTTTTACTGCTTTTTTATCCAGTATCAAAGGCTTATAAGTTAATGGTTTTGATAAGACCCATACGTATTTTAAACTATGACCACATCGCCAGAATAAATTCAGAGGAAACATCTAAACTTAATTCGGATGATAAAATCCAATTCTCTTGACTCGAATGTCATTTCGAAAGCTCCTGGCGGAAGACATTTCCTACAATTATAGAAACAATCAGAACCCTTGGGTGTGTGTGTGTGTGTGTGAGCCATGGCGGTAAGAGTGCCAAGTTTACCGTGTTTATGGCCAATTACTCGGAAGGGAAAGTGTTGGAAGGTCGGCGTGACGTTTTTTTTAGTGAGAGTCCCAGGTGTGTTGTTTGAGGACCCGGCAGATAAATATGTTATAATCCACTCGCACAGGGCAAACCCGTGCGCAAACCCCATTTCGAATCCACAAAATATACTTTTTTTTTCCTCGGGACTTACAAAAATACATATCCATATTAACAAAATATTCCAAATCACCCAATAGTTGTCTCTGGTGTTCCTCATACCACACACACACACACATATATATATATATATATATATATATATATATATATATATATATATATATATATATATATATATATATATATATATATATAAAGAGAGAGAGAGAGAGAGAGAGAGAGAGAGAGGTTAGTTTATGATTGGTTAAATTGGAAATTGGGGGTCAGTGTTTCGACAAAAAGGATTACAGTATCTCCATTGCATTGAGCATCAAATATTGAGCAAAATGAGACCATAATTGTCCACCAAACTAGCAATAGTCAAGTTCCAAATAACTGCCTTAAATCAAATTGCTTTGTTTATTCAAACCATTTGTAGTTATTAGTAATTTTCGTATCACCCACTGTGTTTTTCTTGGCTAGACTAAATAACTACACAGATGATATTCTCTTGTGGTTTACGCAGATTAAAGCTGACAAAACTATTATGCACCAAAAATGTTCTTTAAGTTGCCCGGACAACCATTCTTTCTGGTAATCTCCTGACTTGTACGGAGAGGATTAAGGCAAGCTAAACTGGAAGACCATATAGAGATTCATGTAAATACTTGTAATAAAAGTAGTTCTCTTCAATAAATACGTTAGGCATTACGTGTGAAATTGTGACGAAGTCCCTAACGGCTTACGGCGTAGTAGCAGTGTTGGGGAAAAGCTGTAGAGAGTTGTGGGAACTGTCCAGCTCATCCCGCAGGTCGATGTGTTGCCAGATATAGAAATATTTGTTGTGAGAGTCGACCAAACATTACGTTGATGCGCGAGGAGGGGTGTTTACGGCACTACAAGACCATTATATCCAGTACTTCTTATATTATTCAGTATATAGAACGATCTTACACTTCCATCACTGGATCTCTGGTATGTTTGTACAAATACACGCTAGCAGTGAACACGGAGAAGTCTGGAGAAAACTGTGATGTCCCTCGTGTATCAATTCTTAATGAATATAATGATAATGTTCCTTAATTCTACTTTGTTTTCAACCAAATTGATTTTTCAAGTGAAACTTAACAAACAACCCAGAGTCCGTAAAGAAAATATAGATTAAGTAGTACGTAGACATTAGCGAAGGTAAATTGAAACCCGTCTTCGTAAGCATGGTTCAAACTCACAATTTTCAATTGTTGATAGACCTTAGGGTAATTACTAATTTTGTGACTGTACTATACTATTTTTTGCCAAATTTTGCAGGTACTGTTCAGTATTTTATATTGTTTGTACATAAAAGTTTTAGCATGGTAGGATATTGTGGGGTATATAGATTGTTTGGTTCACACTCAGGATGTGATGGAGAAAGGAAACTCACAATGTGTTCTCTGTATACATGTTGTATTGGATGTACAGTGCAGCTTGGTGCTGGGAAGTGGCAGCGTGGTTACAAGCGTGATGTAGAGAGAGCTGGTTGGTGAGGGTGCTCAGAGGAGGACAGCTTGTGGGTCGCCATACTCGCCGGCGGGAGAGAGGGCCGCCAGGCAGCGGCGGAGGAGGTGGTGTAGCTTGCTGCGGCTGTTGCTAGGAAAGAGAGAGTTCACCACGAGGTCAGGTCTTAAATAGCGGGGGTAGGCGTGGCTTAGTAGTTGACCTCCGTTGATGTATGGCGGCGCTGGTTGACCCAGACCACGAGGCATACACTGGGGAATTCGCAGGGTCGGCTACTCAGCGACAAACAGCGTTTGTAGGGGAGAAATCCACTACAATATATTAAGATTCTGGACAATGAACATTGGGGGGATTAAACAGCACACCGACTTCCTTTATCCGTCAGTGGTAAATTAATCCACCACTACAATATACTGTAAGTTAAGGAACCTGGAAACATGTGCACGCAGCGTCACGAGACAGTGAATATGATTTTACACCAGTTATGTTACATAACAACAGTACGCTGCTGTGCATATGCTGTGTCTGCATAATTATGCACTCTTGTTGATTGAAACATGATAGTTGATGCATGTATTTTTATTGGTACACCAAAAAGAGTATACAGTATATATATATATATATATATATATATATATATATATATATATATATATATATATATATATATATATATAATATATATATATATATATATATATATATATAAATATAAGTAAATCACTAGGTACACGTGATCTAGGTATATGCTGATAACCACAAGGAAAGAAGAAAACACGAAGTTCCCAAGCGCTTTCGTGTAATTCACATCTTCAGGGGTGAGTACAGACTAAAGAGAAGTACAAAACAAGGTGTATATATACAGAGGAGGGTGAGACCAGGTCCACAATGGTCAGGTATTAGGTAATGACCCTACTAATCTTTAAATAGCACCGCAACGGTCGGTAGTCAGGTCAGAGGGCATGGTGACCCAACCTTCTCACCTGGTTAAAAATCTTCTTAATTACAAAATTGTCCAGTTTGTACATGCCATTACTCAAATTCATGTTGAATACTTCGGTATGTTTAATGAGACTAGATTCTATGATGTTCCTACTATCAATTGAATTACAAGGTAATATTGAGGAGGTATTATCCCAGTCAATGCAATGCTTGTTATCCCTCAAATGAACAAACAGAGCATTGGATTCCTGGCCTGTCCTAACACTATTTATGTTGTTTAAGTCTAGTTACAAGATCTTTACCTGTCTGGCCTAAGTAAAACATATTACATGTTTTCTTCTTTCCTTGTGGTTATCAGCATATATATATATATATATATATATATATATATATATATATATATATATATATATATATATATATATATATATATATATATATATATATATATATATATATATATATATATATATATACACACTCAGGGTGTCCCATAAATTTCCATACATAGGAAAAATAAATTTTATATGAAAATCCATTTTTATTTATATAATATGCTCTACATGACTACCATTCTGTTGAAAACACTCTTCAATGCGTGTCCTCCACTGCTGAAGAACACGTTCAAGCACAGCTGGAGTTATGCTTGTAATGGCGTTGGTGATACGTTGTATGGAAACTTATGGGACACCCTGTATATATATAGTGTGTGTGTTGGGCTCAGAAAACGAAAAACGACTACAACAAGTTGTGGTTGTTTGGAAAATAACCAGAAGCGAGATTTTGCTATAGGTTAGGTTAGGTTCGGTTCGGTTAGTTTGGATTCGGTTCGGTTAGTTTAGGATAAAATCCAAACACAAAATTTAGCTTTCTGGTTATTTTGAAAACAACCACAACGCGTTGTAGTCGCTTTTCGTTTTCTGAGCCCAACATATATATGGGATATAATACGTATACTGCATTGTGATCGCCACGGAGCACAAGGAATTTAATTTGAATACCAGCAGCGAGCAGCAACGGAAGATGAGCAAAACAAATGTTTTTTTTCCGAATTGGAACCGTGAGGTTATTTAGCTGAACCATTGCGTTACTGCGTTTGGTGTGGGCGAGCAAATGTGGTGGGTGAAGTTCTAGGAGGGTAGGTGACGGATGTGCTGTACCTAGTATTGAGTGGGCGGGGATCTAGAATTGTGGGCGGAGGACGGGTGTGGGTGGGCTGAAGATAGGTGTTGGTGGGCGGGGGCAGGTGAGCGGCAGCGATGGAACAGGAGCTCGAAGAGGAAGGCCATGAGGGCGATCCCATATCCCATAGCTAGCAGGTAGAAGGTCCCCTGCAGGTGACCGAGACCCAGTACCACCTGTGCCCCGTCCTGCAACACACACATATACACCTAGGTTAATAAATCCTGCAACACACACACACACACACATGCAGACACACATGTACTGTATGTAATGTATGTAATAAGTCATTTATGTTCAATGCATTTTTTCAGCCTTCGGGCTGCAAACTTTTTCAATTAAACGTTTATTATTATTATTATTATTATTATTATTATTATTATTATAATTATTATTATAATTATTATTATAATTATTATTATTATTATTATTATTATTATTATTATTATTATTATTACACACACACACCTGCCTACCTGAGTAAGTGCTCGTATTTGAACTATCGTATGTGCTACTTTGTCTCTCCGGTTGAGGATAACATTCACTTGACCCATGTACTGTATTGTATATACTTCGTCTTAGTTAGGTTTACACACACTAACCTCCACGTGGTATAGATTTAAAAATATTCTCAGGTTAATACTCTATATATTCAGTACCTTATTCCGCGATAGTAATAGCTTATCAGTTATATATCTTCATTATTTACAATTACTGTATATTTATATCTGTTGTATCTGTACTTTAGTAAGTTTAACGTATAATCAAGTCACTACGTAGAGCAGGTGTGGTCTTTCTTTAACAACATAGACGCCTTAGTTAGCCCCAAATATGACTTACCGCCGAAGAGGGTTAAATTATGATGACATATTTGACCGATAACAAGACATGATCAAGGAGTACAGTAGTTAGTACAGTTGTATATTTTGCACCTCTTATAGTTAAATTTAAGAAAAATCCCCATTGACAGATATATTAATTGGTGACATTCATACTAGTTTCATCGATATCAACAGGAGCATTACTACTCAAGTCTGACATGGTCGAATGCACCTAACATGTTTTAATGGTTTACCTCATTGCTGCTGTCCACCTCCTCTTCCTTCTTTCCTCCTCCTTCCTTCTTGTTCCTCTTGGTACGGGTCTTCCTACCAGAGGCCTCGATCAACTCATCCATCCAGAAGTTGATTAAGCCAGCCTCCAGTAGTCGCTGTTTCAATTCATCAATCCGAGGCCTGAATGGAGCTCCCTTCCTGTTTGGGGAGGGGAAACACACCGTGGACTCATTACCTCTTAAATCGACAGAAACAGTCAGGGGAAAGCTGGAGAAAGTCCCAGTCGACCTACTTAAAGCCCCAGCCAACCTGCCTGAAACCCCAACCGACCTACCTGAAGCCCCAGCCGACCTACCTGAAGCCCCAGTCGACCTACCTGAAGCCCCAGTCGACCTACCTGAATCCCCAGCCGACCTACCTGAAGCCCCAGCCAGCCTACCTGAAGCCCCAGCCAACCTACAAGCCCCAGTCGACCTACCTGAAGCCCCAGCCAACCTGCCTGAAACCCCAACTGACCTACCTGAAGCCCCAGCCGACCTACCTGAAGCCCCAGCCAACCTACCTGAAGCCCCAGTCGACCTACCTGAATCCCCAGCCGACCTACCTGAATCCCCAGCCGACCTACCTGAATCCCCAGTCGACCTACCTACCTGAAGCCCCAACAGAAGCCCCAACCGACCTACCTGAAGCCCCAACCGACCTACCTGAAGCCCCAACCGACCTACCTGAAGCCCCAACCGACCCCCAACCACCTACCTGAAGCCCCAACCGACCTACCTGAAGCCCCAACCGACCCACCTGAAGCCCCAGCCGTAGCCGCCATAATTGAAAAGCTCCTCCTTGGCGGTGTGGATGGGTGTGTAGCTGCGGGCGTTGGTGTAGCGGCTTGCAATAATGGATCTGATATAATACTTCCAGGTGATGAAGGCGTGGCGGCCTGCCAGTACCCGGTCCATTTGCTCCTGCAGATCTACCAACTGCGGGAGGCACAAAAAGGGGATAGTTGGGCAAACTCTCAGATTTTAGAGATTCACTACATGTTTCCATAATGTTTTCAAATAGTGCAGAGGTTGTAAGAGTTGGCGGGACATTATCTTGTGAAATGGAATTATGTATCTAAACAATGTGCCGTATGGAAGTAGTTGTGAGGTCCACTTAGCTTTTGTTTCGTAGGTGTATTAATTGGTGGACGCATCACAGATTTGGGATAAAGATTTACCTTGAATTTTTTTCGTGCCTGTAAAGTCACCGTTGACGACTTACCATGAGTTCGCTGAAGACCTTCCTCACAGTTGGGTTCTCATTCATCTTGAGGAATTCCCAGCCGGAGCCATAGGTGGGTTCGTACCCCCAAGTCCAGTGGTCCTTCCTGTGAACCTCTAACAGGTCCTCGAGTGACTCCAGCGTCGCCGACTTACCCGGTACCGTAAGGTGGGCGATGAGCGAGGAGCGATAAGTGATGGTGAGCAGCATACAGTACACCCACCACCACCCCAGCAACATCTGTGGGTGATCATCAGTACTGTACTACACCCACCACCACCCCAGCAACATCTGTGGGTGATCATCAGTACTGTACTACACCTACCACCACCCCAGCAACATCTGTGGGTGATCATCAGTACTGTACTACACTCACCACCACAGCAACATGTTTGTGTGGTAACAATACTTATTTTGTTTAGAAATACAACATTACGTAGCCAGACTAAATTCTCCTCAGTCTACCATAACCTATCACAGCCTTGTCAAATTTATCACAACATGAGTTACCCTCTCGCACCTTAAAATATCCTATCGAGGTCAACTCAGATAATGCCACCGATGTTTTACCTGAGCGGTGATATTCTTGGGTAGCCTCGAGGGGGGGTCCTCCATCAGAATGGCCAGGGTGAGCATGAGAGACCTGCCTAGGCCTAGGGCACGTCCTCCTGATACCCACGCCCACGCCCCTTGCAGTCCCCATAACACCACGCCTGCTACCACCGTTGACACCACCATCGCCACCCACAGATTTGCTGCCGAAGGTCACAGCATGTTATCATGGACATTTTAAAAGTTAAAATGTCAGAGGACCTTAAAACTTTATTCTCAGGTTCTCTCCTCACTTAAGAAGGTCTAGTTAGTCTACACCTCACATTAGGAAGCCCTGGTGCCATGTTCTCTACTGAATAGGCTCTAAAATATGTGCTAACTTCATAAGGCCCTGTTGATATATGTGCTCACTTCAGAAGGCCCTGTTGATAGATGTGCTCACTTCAGAAGGCCCTGTTGATAGATGTGCTCACTTCAGAAGGCCCTGTTGATAGATGTGCTCACTTCAGAAAACCCTGTTGATGTGTTCACTTTAGAAGGCCCTATTGATATATGTGCTCACTTGAGGAGACTAACAATTCACATGCTTTTATAAGAGCCCTTGATAATCATGTGATCAATTGAGAAGACCTTGACCGGAACTTTGCTCACCTGAAAACGTACTAATAGGTACTTTTCTCACCTGAATTAGTACTAATAACTCAAATCCTCACTTGAGAAGAGCCTAATGAGTATATACACTACTGTACACACCCGAACATTACTACTGTATATAGTCTACTCACTTGATAATGTGTCCAGTAAGTCATGTCCTCAGCTCACCTGAGAAAGGTCTGACGAGAGCGAAGGACTGGGAGAGAGGCAGGGGCTTGGAGGTGATCATGACGAGGGGTTCAGAGGCGTAGATCCTGGAGTAGTCGACGACGGGGAGACGCGTCTCCATCCAGGACAGCATCATTGAGAAGTCTGCTTTGTGGTGTTGCAGTGTTCCCACGATCCCCGTCCAGTTGCCGCTCTCTGTCGACGTCCCCCACTGGTTGTCCCACGGTACCCGCATCTCATACCTGCCATGCAAATCATAAATGACGTTATATAACTCGTACCGCTCTATATGTGACAGTTGTAAAATACCTCTTCCATCAACGTCTCCCACAAGGTTAACTCGTACCCTTCTATGTGATAGAGGCAGTTCATAAGTGAGATTGATTGATTGAAACATTTTATTTAGCCAGAAAAATACAGATACAGAGTGGATAATAATAACAATATTAACATGGCTGAGCCAGTTGAGAACCTGAGCTCTTTTTGAGGCACCTGATATATACTATACATTTATCTCAAGGAAGAATTATGTAACATTTAGTATCATCTGGAATAGTACAATAGCATGGTGGTAATAAATACATCTCATAATGTTATCACGGTTATCACTTCAATATTTATTTATTTCATTATTTATTATTATTTTTATTTATTTATTTTGTTTTTATTTATTTATTTATTTATACATACATACATACATATATATATATATATATATATATATATATATATATATATATATATATATATATATATATATATATATTGTATATATACAGTATATATATATATATATGCAAGTAAATCACTGTAGGTGCGCGTGATCTAGGTATATGCTGATAACCACAAGGAAAGAAGAAAACACGAAGTTCCCAAGCGCTTTCGTGTAATTCACATCTCCAGGGGTGAGTACAGACTAGTCTGTACTCACCCCTGAAGATGTGAATTACACGAAAGCGCTTGGGAACTTCGTGTTTTCTTCTTTCCTTTTATATAACATGCTCCCATGTTCCATATTATTCCTGTAATGATATGTTAAATTTACTATTATATATTCTAGTCACCTTACCCTGTGCTGTTAAGGTTTTAACTGTCATTATTTGTTCAAGCCCATCTTATTTCTTTATTTTGTATTGTAACCAGCATTCTTTGTTCTCTAACGACCAATTGCATCGTTAAACGACCCACCGGCGGGTCGCGTGGCGGGAGCCGACCTTATATGTAGGACCCACCAACTGACTTGAGTTAGTTCAGTCCTCTTGTCATACAGTCCACATCCTTTGAGTGTCACTTGTTACTTAAACTTAATTTATTTGTGTTGTTCCTGTCGCCACCAATGTGGTATATCTATGTGAGTACCTATTTATGTCTCTGTTTGTGTACATCAGTATTTGCTTAGTTGTATTCAAGTAATTCAGTGTTGTTTCACGTTAGTTAATTTCAGTGATAGTTTTTATATGTTTATGCAGTGTTAACGTAATCCAATGCTTTATTTTTATTCTTTTGATGTTTCGATGTTTAGTATCATTTGTGTCTTAAAAGTTTCGATGGTGAATCAGTTTGTTGTGACAGCCTACGAGGCTCTTTATTGTGTTAATATTTAATCAATTAAATTCTAAAAGGTTTACTTTATTTATTTTTATTCTCTTTTAATTTACTTCACTTTTTGTTTGGTTACGCCTAGAACCTGGATATTAAAGTAAATTAAGAGACGGCGTAACAAAATGTATATATATATATATATATATATATATATATATATATATATATATATATATATATATATATATATATTTAAATTACAGTGGAATTGAAAAACAAAAGTATAATGGGGGAGCAGTACAACCTGGGTTGTACAGTAATAAGGTTAAACAAGAGGACACAGCTGTCAGGATTATGTCTAGTTAGCAAGTAAATGTTGCAAGAAATATTAATACTTCGACAATAGATATTTTTTTAGAGATGATTTAAAGGAAGGGAGCGTAGTCTTTGCTCGGATGTGTGGGGGTAAGTTGTTCCACATCTTCATACCATGATATTTTATGGAGGTCTGGGACTGAGAGGAGCGCATGGGGGGTGGTCTTAGTAGCTCTGGGTGCCTTGAGTTTTTTCTCTGATTATTCCGGAACTGGAAATAATTATTGTCAAGCAAGTGATTGATAGATTTGTAAACAAAGAGGGCACAGCAGTAAGTGTTAATATCCTCGAATTTAAAAAATTTCAATATAGCAAATTTTTCGTTTGTGTGATCTGTTTTTTTTTTCAAGTAGGTCATTTTTCGTACAACTCTCTCTTGTGCAGTAACCAGAGATTGTGTTTTTGAAGAGCCAGAGGCCCCCCATAGTGTGTGACAGTGTATCAGGTGTTGGTAAACAAGTTCATGATAGATTTCTTTCATTGCTGTGAGAGTGAGTGACTGTCGAGTGTGATACATGATACCGCACTGTTTATTGATTTTACTGTGAATGGCTTGTATGTGGT